ACTATAGTTTGCATACAATTATGAGTTAAAGAATTTTCATATTGAAAAGTAAAAGAATGACAAATAAAACAAATTAGATGTTTGGTTGGGAACTGATAGAGAGAGAGAGAGAGAGAGAGAGAGAAAGTGATAAAAAGTTGTGGGTATAAAATGTGAGGACAATTGAGTCTCGAGTGGTCTTCAATACAATACAAATCCGTGTTTTGGTTGGTATGGACTGCGAGTGCGCACAAGTGGTAGACATCTGTAAACAGTGGCCAACAGTTTGTGTCTGTCTTTGAGTCTCTTTGACACCAGTTATGGCTCACAAAGTGATTGTCTTGTGATTGTGTTGTCGTCGAAGTATATGAATCGGAGTGGAAGCGATCGATCAGATGATGGCATCGTTTCTGATGCTCTCATATCTAATTAAAGCCAAATTCAAGGGAAAGACGTTTGTTTGCCACTCAATCATCGGATCCATTGTCTTGTTTCATGTGTTGCCAACGCTATTGAGTCACTCGATATCGCCATCCGGTTCGTCAACTTGTGGTGATGTCCTCTGCTTTCACGGCACCTGTCATGACGGCCGATGCATATGTGATAATGGATGGCAGGGCTCGGCCTGTCATCGATGCGGAGGACGGATCAAGTAATGCGATGAAAAGCGTGTGTTTTGTAACCATTTTACTAATGATTTGTTTTGTTTGACGCGAAGACTGGACGCGCCGTCCGGTTATATCAGTGATGGGATCGGGAACTACAGTACAGACCTTCAGTGCACTTGGATTATAGAGAGTGGTATGAATGAGTCGGTCATACGTCTGGAGTTCGTGCACTTCGAGACCGAGTGCTCGTGGGATCACTTATACATCTTCGACGGCGACTCTGTCTTCTCGCCAGTGTTGGCCGCATTCAGCGGAATACTCGTCAGAGACGGACACGAGTTCCAGCGGATCCCCGAAATCAGTGCCCATTCCGGAAGAGCTTATCTATATTTTTATAGCGACGCCGCCTATAATATGAGTGGTTTTAATATATCTTATAGTATTAATACGTGTCCGAAGAACTGTTCCGGTCATGGCGTGTGTGTCTCGCCATCGCTCGGCTGCACATGCGATGCCGGATACGATGGCGAGGCCTGCGATCGACTCATCTGTCCCAACGACTGCAGCGGACACGGAGTGTGTGATAGAGAGCAACACAAATGCAATTGTGATTACGATTTTGTGGGCATTGATTGCAGTCAACCGCAGTTCGAGGGCTTTTGGACTAATGTTAATGCCATCAAAACAGTTAAGGGAAGAGCTCTTCACCAGTCGGTGCTCTACGAGAACTCAATGTATGTGACGGGCGGTGAGTACTACGAACCCGAAGAGTTCCTCATGAGGTTTGATCTGAAGCTTAAGAAGTGGGAAACCATCAAAGGCGACATCGAATCCGGTGTCGTGCCCTCCGAACGGTTTGGCCATTCAGTTGTTTTGCACAACAATAAACTTATTATGTTTGGAGGAATGCTTAAGAACGGATCCATTACTCACGATCTCTGGGCTTACGATATATTGAGACAGAGATGGGATCTGTGGGTTGAAGGCGACGACTACTTCTCTCTCTCATGTCACACACCGTTTTGCAGTTCATTGCCAGTGATGGGACACACGGCCACTATTGTAGACAATCATATGATAGTCATCTTTGGTTATAATCCTATTTATGGTTATTTAAATGTTGTCCAAGAATTCAGTTTTGGTAATTATTGACACCAATTGTAATGTTTTATATTAAATGAAACCTTTTTGATGCCAAACAGGGAGTAAAACGTGGCAAATGGTCCAAACAAAAGGTGCGATCGTAAAGGGAGGTTTTGGTCACTCAAGTTGTTACGATTCGTTAACAAAAGTTATTTATGTCTTCGGCGGCTATCACTCTCTCGGCGCTTCCGATACTATACTCGTAGACCTCTTATATGGATATAATTATCGTTTTAAGTCATGGTTTGTATTAATGGATTATATTTGGATGAATGTATGCTATAATTGATTTAATTGTATGTTAGGATTTTGCTAAACCCGAGCCAATCGCCGCGATATCTTCACAGCGCAACCATAATCAATGGCCTGATGCTTGTCTACGGCGGCAATGGGTATAACGCGAGTCATTACAACTCAGGCGACCGATGCTTTTCGCCCCAATTTCTCTCTTACGAAATCTCATGCGACACATGGCGTACACTGAAAGACCCGTCGCCCGCAATCCTGTTGAGCGACTCCGGGTTCGGACGTTACGGACACTCAAGTATCTTATATGAAGACTCAATATACATATTCGGCGGTTTCAATGGAGTAATGCTCAGTTCGATACTTAAATACTCACCGGGAGATTGCCGTCGCTTCTCCATTGCCGACGAGTGCGGACGAGTCAGAGCCGGAACTAAGTGTGTCTGGAATAAAGACAAAAACGTTTGCCTTCCATTCAGCGTTCAAAAGACCTCCCAAGCGGTCTCTCTATACAGTCCTTGCGATAGTGTTTACGCCAACTTCACTGAGTTGTGCCAAAGGCAGACACTGTGCCCGTCGTGTCTGGCGAACACATACGGCTGTGTTTGGTGTAGTTCTGGACAATGCGCTCATCAGAAGTGTCGTAAAACCGGAGTTAAGGATGAAATTAAAAGCATTAGTGACTCTTCCAGATGTGAGGACGATATTCGGAGCTCTAATTGTGATAAACTTCATAATTGTCACTCATGTCATACAGAATACCAGTGCGGGTATGAATGTGTTGATCACTTATAGTATTTTGAATGATGTATGAAATGAATTGCTTTTATCTTTCAGATGGCAAAGAGATTCAAAGTGTTATACATTTGTTAGAGATTTTGACAATAAAACTGATAAGAATGCTCTTCGAGATGACCTGAAGCCAGTGTGTGAACAGCCCTGTCATACGCGAACCACGTGTGAGAATTGTACGGCCGGGTCGTGCATGTGGTGCAGTTCCACCCGACGGTGCATTGAATCCAACGCTTACGCCGCTATCTTCCCAATCGCTCAGTGCATGGAATGGACAATACATCCATACAAGTGCTCGGGTCTCACCTGTTCTGATATACAGAGTTGTGATCGATGTCTGAAGAACCCATTGTGCGGCTGGTGTGACGACGGGACCGGTACTGGTGTTGGCATCTGTCTGGAGGGCGCCTCCACCGGACCCTATAAGTGGAACGGAACCCATTACTCGCTCATTATGAGCGCCTGTCCGGCCAATGACTGGCATTTCGCACACTGTCCTGAGTGTCAATGCAATGGACACTCGCATTGCTTATCGCCGAACGTATGCCAAAAGCCGTGTAACCATTTGACTGAAGGCAGTCACTGCCAGTACTGTATGGCCGGCTATTACGGCAATCCAATGAATGGCGGGAACTGTACTCCGTGTTCGTGTCACAGTCACAGTGTGTTTTGCAACCGAGAGTCCGGCAAATGTCACTGCACTACGAAAGGCATTACTGGCCATCACTGCGAGAAATGTGACGAACAGAACAACTATATCGGGAACCCCGAAGAGGAGGGCGGCTCCTGTTTCTACAACTTAACGATGGGATATCAGTACACATTCAATATGTCTAAACCAGACGACCGCTTCTACACGCGAATCAATTTCATGAACGTTCCGATGACTCCAGACATTGACGTCGAGTTCATGATTCAGTGCCAGGAAAGCGCTTTAGTGAACATCTCTATCGGTTCCGGTCAGTGAAGCCTTTCCTATTCATTTTCAATACATTTTAAACTGTTGTTTCATTTTTAGCTACATTTCCGATCCGTACTCTTCACGAACGACTCGAATGCGGAAACTTTAAGCTCCGGTTCTCTCACGACGAGAATCTCTTCGGCATTGAAAACACAACCTTTTATGTGAATGTTTTCGCTTTTTCCACACCATTTGTTCTTCAGATATCGTTCTCACAGCACAGAACTCTCGATTTGCTTCAATTTTTTGTCACATTTTCGAGGTTTGACTCCATTTTTAGTTATTTTCTAAAACATTCTAATGATGATCTATTTTATTGTTTAGTTGTTTCTTAACTCTTTTAATAATCGCTGCCATTCTGTGGAAAATCAAACAAAAGTATGATTTATATAGACGTCGACAGGTATGCATCGGTCGATCATAGCATGTATGCATTGTATGCGATGTCTGACTCATTGTATTGTTGTTTTTGTAGCAATTGTTTGTAGAGATGGAACAAATGGCTTCGCGACCGTTCGCAACGGTTGTCATTCACGTCAATAGAGAACAAATCAACTTAAAAGACAACCGAAGCCGTGATTGTGATAACCCGACGCCAATCGCATTAGAGCCGTGCAATACCGGGAAAGCGGCCGTCCTTTCACTCATTGTGCGAATGCCTACCGGAGGAGCTCTTCCAACGCCAGCGGGTATTACTTATATTATGTTTCCTTTTGTTTCAATTAATTTCAGTCATTACAATGCATTGAATTGTTGATGAATGAGAGGCTATTTTGAATTTGATTTATTCATTCATATTGAATGCCTTTTAAATAACAATTTATTTGTGAAGTGTTTGTATGAATGAATGAATGACAAGAATGTGAAGATTATGGTAAAATTGATAATAACTTTATTTATTGGTTATTGGAAATGTAGGTCAAACGGGAATAGCGATCGCTTCAGCACTGGTATCGTTAGGAACGGTCCCATTGGAGCATAAGTCCAATAAAGAGACCGATTGTCCCAACAATAAAGTGATGAATAGTTCAAATAAGTTAAACAACTGTCCGACCACTACAACCAACATGACTGGTGTTTAGCATACGATTATCATTCAAATCAATTCAATCCAAACAACTCATCATTTCGTTTCTCAAAGTCTTTTTATTATTAGTTGTCTTTAGATTTTTATATGTATTTACGATTCAAACCCTTATTTTTATTTATTTAGATTTCAATTGAGATTAAAATTGATTTTTGTAAATAGTAGTCACAAACCAACCCAACCCCAAACCAGCCCAAACAACCATGACCATTTGACCATTCAAACAAAATACAATCATTGCTTTAAAACACTTTCTCATCAATCAGTTAATGACAATTGGATTCAAGATCTGTGTAAAAACAATACAACTATTTAGAGCTAACATTTATAACTAATTGGATTTCTATTGTATTATATGTCTAATAGATTTACATTTAATTAAAATTAAATTTAAGAATTTTATTAACAAAATAAAAAACGATTTATCTATTTATGTATTTTTTATTTGATAACTGATAACTTGTTGTGAATATTTTGAATTTATTTGATTCCCAGTGAAAAACATTGGTGTGAGAAAAATATAAACCAAATATCAGTTCATATCTCATACAGTTGTGTAATAGATCCTCAAAACATATATTTAATGTATTGAGAAATATTATCGTAGTTACATTTTAAGGTATATTAATTTACCGAAATGAGAGAAAGAGAGAGAGAGAGAGAG